GAGAAATCGAAGAAGCTATACAGGGGTTTTCTCGGGCCTATTCATATGGTACCTAACGTAATTATATGATACCCGTGGGACTTCGAGCCTCTCAAATTTATACCGCCAAGCGCCAACCAAACTTGGTATAAATTTAATCCCAGATGTTATCCTACCTTATCCGTCTTACCAAATAATCCCTAAGAATTACCGGATGGTAGAATTTGAGGGCAAGTTAGCAGGCATTAATTCATCAAGATGGGAGAGAGGAATGCAAGCTGTTTGGATTTTTCGTAGGGAAGAATGGGTGTATCAAGAATTAATATCATCATTAGAAGAAGAAGAGGAATGTTGTATTAATGGGGAGAATATCGTATTAGTTAACCCCATGCTCAAGCCACCTAGCTAAGTGCTTCTCTAGACTCATTGAGCATTAAAATGTTTAATATTAGACCTTGACTGTTAAGATATACTTATATGTTTTACTTTCTACCTTGTTATTGCTGATCTTCCCTATCACGAGGAAACTTCCAAAAGGCGACTTTTGAGTTTTGACTTGTAGCAAGTGACACCCATGTTTTACCTTACTACTTTAATATCATATCAATCTCCATCATGAGAACCTCTAAGATCTTATATGTCAACTTTCATAAGATGTAGGATGTCACATTTTTAAGTAGAATATATTTGGCTTTTGAATTGGTTCTACGGAAAGGATATTCAAAGATTCTATAAATCCTTAACGCATACTACCCTCGTCATTCCATTTGAATTGGTTTCAGAAAAAAAAAACAAATATTTCATAAAACCTTTATTTAATACAAACTACTCTCGGCATTCCATTTAAGATAATATATTTCCTTGTTTGTTGAAAAAACTAGCATATTTTTATATTTAAAAACTTTTAATTGACATTTCCATTTTCTCGCCATAGTATTTTGTACATCAAGTAATATAAGTATACTTTCGTCTGTTATATCTGTTTAACTTATGTGTGTTTTTCCTTAAATTACACGTCTAATTAAACGCTGTCTTATAAAATAAAAAGAAATGAGCATAAATTTCCCCCTCCCCTTCTACTATGATGTAAAACATGGGATAAGAACCGGTGGACCATAAGATTAATGTTGTATTAATTTTGATATGTAATCATACGCTTGAGACAGTATACATTAATTATCTCAGAAACTCATCCAGAGACATGTAGTTTATTTTCCTTAAAGGAAGTTCTATAAACTTTACAAGCAACTACTTTTTTTTTGCCTGTCATGAGAACTTCTAAGAGACATATGTCAACTTTCAATAAGATATAAAATGTTGTGGGCGTCACATATTTAAGTAGGACGTCATATACAGCTTTAGCTTAAGTTTCAGTTTTTTTTTTTCTTTTTTCTTAGATTAGTTAAGTGTTTAATTAAATACTATCATACAAAATAAAATGAGCTGAGTATATATTCTCCTTCTCCCCTTCTATTATGTAGTAAAACATGGGATAAGGACCCGATGGACCATGAGATTTTTGTTCTCTTAATTTTGATAAGTAATCATACGTTTTAGACAGTATACCTAAACTCAGGCACTTCTAGAGACACTTGGTGTATTCTTTTATTTTATTTTTTTCCCTAAAGGGAGTACCATAAACTATACAAGCAACTATTGTCGCATATAACAGAAAAGAAAAACTTATTTAATTTGATATAATGTCTTCTGTCAAATATATGGTGATGTATTCCCAATAAAGAGATCAAGAACTTTTGATAAGGACATTTTCATCAATCTATGGATATAGCTGTCGTTGAAGTAGGCATAAAAATCTGAAAAGGTAAATGAAAACCAAATCTCCACATACAATTATTCATCTTGCTCTTGTATTGTAAAAAATTAGCCCCCGCTCCAATCCCAAGAAAATATAAATAAAAGGGCCTCATTTTGGTCTGTCTCTTATTTTTCAACTGGGGAAAATATCTGCGCTCCGCGCGATTATAAAAAACTCTCATATTAATAATAAAATTAATATCTTACTATATGAACACTATAAATAGCTAAAAGTTCAATTGTATATTTTTAATGTACTTAAATATTTATAAAGAAAATTCCTTTTGAGCCGTTGATTTGTCAATTTACCGTACATTTGGGGTTTTTTATTTTTATTTTTAAAAAAGGAATAAGTGTTCCTTTAATTCCAAACTTTGACATAATTTTTGGAACTCCATCTTTATTTTATAAATATGTGACTATATTTTTACTACTTATATAAGTGAAATTGTGGACATATATTTTTATACATAATATTTTTTGATATAAATGTGCATATATCTTATTTCTTTTTTCTTGAAAATTTTTAAAAATAATTAATTTAATTAAGTGTGTCTTATCTAACCAATTCGATATGTTAGAGATTCCAATTTTATTCATATAATAACATTAAACACAAGAAAATAAGCAATCTATATCTCTACAAAAAAAAAATCTCATTTTGCGGGGGGTTTTTTGGTAGATTTGTGGTGGTTTTGGACCTCCACAAAATTATTTGTGGCGGTTTAAAAAAATGCCACAGTTATGTTCGCCACGAGCATTTCTGCGACAGTTTTTTAAAACCTCCACGACGACCGCCACAAAATAAATTTTCAATTTGTGGCGGTTTCTCTAGGCAAGTAAGGGCAGTTTGTAACCCCTACAAATATGATATCAGTCTTTTAAAAAAAATATTTGTGGCGATTTATAACCCCCACAATTTGAATTCATGGTTAAAAAAAATATTTAATAGTGATAGTTTTAAATGCTAAAATACCTATTTAAAAATTTTAATTCTAGAATTCAATTATAATATTACTAAATAACTCATACAACATAAATCAAATTCCTTTAGAAATATCTAGTGTAACAAACATTACGAATTCGAATTCATATCAAACTAAAGCCATACAAACAAATTAATGATAAGTTAAATATTAGACAATCTAGAGTAGTTCCTCAACAACCAAAAATACAAAGTGCAAAGTACTTGCTTGATGATTTGTATTGCTGTCACTTGATGATACTCTTTACATCCACAGGTGAAGCAGACTTGGTCTTCACATTACTATGCTGAAATAATGAAACAAAGAAATTTGATGAAACTTATAAACGACTAGCATAGTCTAACAATGGCATTAATAGTTACTGGACAATCTGGTTACATAAATAAACGAAAGCTCCAAATCTTCGAACAAATAAATTTGTTACTCTGTCTAACAATTGTATGAACAGAAGTTGATGGATATTCTCACATGAATAAGAGCTAAAGTACAAAATGCTTTCCTCGTATATCATCACAAAACTTACCTCCACAAATTATTTTACTTGTCAGCATAAATTCTAGCTATATATTCATGAAAAAGAACACTTACATAACTATTAAACTATAAGTCAGCCTCTATAGAATTACCAACATTAAAATTAAATAAATAAAGAATATGTTGCAGCCAGTCCAATGATTAAAGGAAGTTAAACTTGTACTAAAGTTAGGGGTGGGCATATATCGGGTAAAACCGATAACCCGAACC